CTTTACCAATGTTCAAGGCAGTCTCTGGGTCCTTATTATAATGCGGCACCTAATATTTAGGGTACCCAAAAGAGGGACCATAATTTTGACAACTACCAATGTGGAGGCTGGCTATTGCACTTCCTAGCTCTACGGTCCCTACTACAATTCCGTAAATGGTAAGGTTTGTTCATCCGAGGTCTACGTTACTGACGAAGTACGTTACAACTCTATTCGGATGAAGCCGGGTGAAAATAGCCTTTTGTCGGGTGCTTCTCGCAAGCTAGAGCAAGTCTGAAACCCAAAACCCTGAATCCTGAACCCCAAACCCTAAACCCAAAACCTTAAATTCCTAAACCCAAAAGCCTAAACCCAAAACCCAAAACCCAAAACCCTAAATTCCTAAACCCAAAACCCAAAACCTAAATCCCTAGATTCCTAAGCCCCAAACCCAAGCCTTAAATACCAAAACCCTGATCCTGCAAACCTTGCCCTAAACCCTACGTGGGTAGATCTCTCAATCAGGGTCCCTTCTTCGGTCCCCAAATTAATACGACACCTTTATGAAGAGGACCCTAACAGGGACCCTGATTTAGAGAACCACGAACCACCCAAATCCTAAACGTTAAACTCGAACAAAAGCTTCAGAAAGTAGGGGGGCTGCAATACTAGATGCAGAATGGTGAGATTTTTTGTTAAAGAGCCCTCGAAGAATTTAGCCTCAGGCCAAACTCTCTAAGCCCAAACTCTTGCGCCTTACCCTCAGGACTTTCTAGGCTTCAAGGATTTAGGGTTTGGAGGTTCAGAATTGACCCTAAACCCTAAACCCTAAAAACCTAAAGCCCTAAGCCCTAAACCCTAAACCCTAAACCCTAAAACCCTAAAACCCTAAAGCCCCAAAAGGGGTTTAGGGTTCAGGGGCCCTCCTGCCCTTGATCTTGGGCTGTGACGAGCAGAGGCGTTCTTCGTCTCATCCGGCGCGGTCGTCGTCGTCGTTTCGCCCACCTTCAGCGGGAAGTCTCAACCTAGGGTTTAGGGTTTAGGGTTTAGAGTTTAGGGTCTAGGGTTTAGGGGAGTCTCAACCAAGCTCTCTTTAAATTCGCCTGTTGCTAAAGGAAACTGCAGGTGGGGAGTTTGGGGTATATGGGGCTTCTAGCAGGCTTCCATAAGGTATGTAGACCTTCTATAAGGCTCCTATAACGGTAACTACCCACCTGAAAATGTCCTGATGTTGTGTCTCAAGAAGAAACTCTAATTAGGTGCCAGTTTTTGGGGCTCTGGGGTCAGGTTTTGGGATTCCAACATCGAGAGCATTTTACGGACCGCTTCAGCTGGGTAGCCTCTTCCTGTTCTACCTGCTATTCAACTTTTATCAAAAACCCCGAAAGGAAACGGACATAAGGGCGCTACTGGGGGACCTAGTCCAGCTTCGATCTCATCAACCACACCGTCAACGATTGAGCCTAGCGACTTCCTAGAGTTGATTTTGTGCTTTACGTCAGCTTGCGCGTAAAGCTCTTTTTTCTGGGGTGTCGTACATCTGCTGCTGGGGTGCGAAGAGAGAACCTGCGAAGTTCTGCGCAGTCCTAGAATTCGCATCTTGTGAATCACAGAGAGCAAGCACCATGCCTTCATCTTTGCCGCAGCCTCCGTGGCTTCACCTCGGTTGTGTTAGCCAGCGTAGGCTTGGGAGCTACCGGGACCGAATTTTAGGGTTTAGGGCTTATGACCAAAGATTGACCAAGGCACAAGCTAGTGTAGTAAGTCGCTGGCTGATCTTGCATGTGTACGCTAACGCCCGATTTCTCAGAAAGCTGTATAACAACAGTTCAGGGGGCTCATTTTATGTAGTATAGGTGTCTGCATCACTAGATTGGGGTTCTCTAGCATATCATACCATCGCACGGCTTAAGGTATTTCAAGGTCTGCAGAGCCCTAATTTCGAAATGCCACGATCCTGCTCTGAGCACTCTTCGATGCAACAGAAGCCGCCTCCATATGCTGGAAAGCCCTGAGCTGGAAATGTCACGCGCCGACTAAGAGCGCAAAGGATATCAATCTAGGGGCCTTAACAACTAAAGGTGTCGGGGAGATTACCCCAAAACCCTACCTTAGACTGCACGTATGCGGGGATTCAGGCGAAACCGTCGTACTAACTCTTCAGAACACGAAGCTCGACCAGGATCCCTAACAGAGCCAGGGCTAGTCTAGGACCCCCAGATATTAAGAAACCTACAGAACCAGACAGGCCCTATCTATGTTAGGGATGTTAGTGTTTCTGATCCTAGCTACAGCAAAAACCGTGCAGGCTCGTCGGGGATTGTGGTTCAAGGCTGCTTATATGGAGCTTCCTCCCTAAACCCTCAACCTCGAAGCCTAGACCCGAAACCTTCAACCCCGAAACCCTCAACCCCAAACCCTAAACCCAAAACCCCAAAATCCCAGAGCCCCTACTAGAGACAGACAAGGGGCATGTGACGTTGGCCCTGGAGGCTGCCTCTTTCACCAGGGCGCTGGTGCCGACCTCCTGGATCACCTCCTCACCTTCGAGCTTCTTCCCTACGGTTTAGGGTTTAGGGTTTAGGTTTTGGGTTTAGGGTTTAGGGCACCCTAAACCCTAAACCCTAAACCCTTGAATGATGGTTGCTTTAAGGGCTTGTGTGATGTTGAGGCCTTATAGTTGCTGGGGTGTCTTCTGCTACAAGTATACGGACAATTTACGGGGATGCTGTTGGTGCTTCTTCCGAACCCCTCCATGAAGGTTCCAGGGTGCTCTTCGAAACATATCATGATTACAGGGACTTGGGCCGTTGGGCTTGAGGTGTTTGGGGTTCAGGGTTTAAGGGGTTCAGGGAGCACGACGTTCGTGTCAGGATCTGAGTGGGTTGAGGTCTCTATAATCAGGCTGGGTTTCAGGGTTTAGGGCTCAGACCAGAGTCCAGAATGGCCTGCTGCCCCTGTACGGATGGAGTTTCTGATGCGGGACTGGCCTCCGGGCTTAGGAGTTCTCCTTAGGGTTTCCAAATACCAGGTGTTTCACAGGGCTTTCCAGCGTGTAGGAATATAGGTTTCTGGGCGCTTAGAAGGTTTGCAAAATCAGTTTTTTTTTTATAGGGCTTCGATGATGATGCTTCTTCTGGGTCTGTTGCTGAATACCTGGAAAAGGTTTCGAGTTTGGACTTACTCGTCTTCTGGCTCTGGTCAGGGTTTCAATGAATGTGGGCTTCGCTCGAGACGCATTGTTCTGGATTTCAGCTTAGGCTGGGACTTTGCCAGCCCCTACATGCCCGTATTGGTCCATGTACCCATCTAGATCATTGTAGGTCCATATAGCGTATACTTTGCACCTGAAAGTACCACATGGGCACATGGATCGTTTAGGCAGGGTTTAGGGTTGAGGGGTTTAGGGTTTAGGGTCCTCCCCGCAAAAATAGCCAAGGACGCATGACCCCGAAGTACGGCTGAAGCCCCAGTGCAGTTCGAGAAAACTTCAATCAGAGCTCCAGTCCAGCGATTCTGAGAGTGCAATGTAGAGGCCTAAATAATTACCGATACTATGTTGGGGGGTTCCTTATTATCGTTATAGAATGGGATTTGGGGGGCCATGATTGAGGCCCTTATATAAATAGACTTAGAGAAAGCGTAACAGTAGCAAGTAACCTTTCAGGAACTGGAGGCAACGGAGAGACATTGAGACTGCTGGAGGCTTAAAGGGTTTGGGTGACATCAGCAAAGGGGCCTAAACTTCAGAACATATGGGGTTTTCCGAAAAGAGGGGACCCAAATATAGTACCCTAAATAGTAGGATCCTTATTATAAGGACCCCAAAATAAGGTACCCCAATTTTCGGAAACTCCCATATATGTTCAGACTGAGTCCGCTTCAGCATTCGTTGCTTCAGAACATCTGCTGCTGCCAAGTAGCAGCAGGTGCATATTGCATGCATTGTCAGCTGCTGTTTTGGGCAAAACAACTTTCAAAGTTGCATTTCGCTTGGTACTGCCTCTAGACATGTGGGGCTTCCCGAAAGTAGGGGACCCTAATCTAGGCCCCTAAGAAGTAGGATCCGTATTGTAAGGACCCCAAAATTCGGTACCCCTTACTTTCGGAGACTCCCATGTGTCTTCAGCCTCACAGGGGCGCAGGACTTGCAAGACAGGGGCGTTGAAAACTAGAATAGGGCGTCGGGGTATGTTGCAGAATAGCTATAACAAGGAACCCTCGGGAAAAGTATTGGTACGTATTCAGGCATATATACTAAAACATTTTAAAAAAATCCCTAAGCGAACCCTAAACCACCGAAAACCTTTTGAAACCAACAATGCCGCCGGGGTGCTGCAGAGTAGGCCCATGTCCCAACAGGCGTCAGAGCAACTCTGGTTCTCCTGGGGCTGAGAGTTGAATATAGGTTCAGTGTCTCTTAGGGTTTAGGAGTTTAGGGTTTAGGGTCCAGGGTCTTGTAGGGTTTAGGAGTTTAGGGTTCAGGTTCTCTTAGAATTTAGGAGTAATATAGGTTCAGGGTCTTTCAGGGTGTTTTTTTAAGTGCAATAGCCTCTTTCTCCGCACGAGACTCACCCCAGTCTACACTTGTGGGGTTTAGCGTTCAGGGTTTTGGGTTCAGGGTCTTGTAGGGTTTAGGAGTTTAGGGTTCAGGATCTCTTAGAATTTAGGAGTTTAGGGTGCAGGGTCTTTTAGGATCGAAGCGTTGAGGGTCAGAACATTTATGTAGGGACTATGTGCAACATGCTTGTGCCTGGCGTTTGACGTAAGTTTAGGGTGGCATGGCTCAGCATCGCTGCAGAATTTGAAAGTTATGTCGCTCGGGATCCTAAACCCGGCCTGCATGTGAAGAATGCGCACCAGACCGTCAGGTCCAATTGGAATCTAAACCCTGAACCCTAAACCCTAAACCCTAAACCCATCAAACCCTAGACCCATCCAAACCCACGACAATGCGACTTCGACCCGCTGCGCGAGTTGGTACGTAGTGCCCCGGGGGGCCGCATGCCCCTAAGGGTCCAAGTACCGAGGAATCATATACTCTCCCAAATAGGGTTTAGGGTTTAGGGTTTAGGGAATCTTATTATACTCTCCCAAATATTAACCTCGAAAACTACTATCCGCTACCAAAGCACCTTATTATTGGGTCCTTTGGACCCTTAGGGTTAATTCCTCTCAGGCAAGGAAGGCGAGCAGAAGTTGTGCAGAGGTCCGCATATACAGCTAAGTCGATTTAGCTCTGCATGAAGGCACCATCAATCAGACCTCCACCATAGTAGACCCGAGAAAATCAGTAGGTCTTTGGCGATGGCAAATACAGAGACACACACCAAACACGCACACGAAGTCAAACCACTCAAGGAGCAGCAAAACGACCAACGAATCAGCCCCTCTGACGGAATGCCAATAACACTAAGAAAAATGTCAACACTAAAAGGTAAAGGGGGAGCATGGCGAGAAGCAGACGGGGCAACTTAAGCTATCAAACAGGTCGGATCTGCGATTCGTCGACTACATGTAGACAGTTTCCAGTTCAGGAAGACATCTATCTGCACGATCGACTTTGCGTTTCTTTTGCCTTTCCGTTCCAAGCACGAGTCCTTTCCCATCAGCCACATCTCCACATCGCGGATGTCTTGCTCCGTTAGGCTCTGCAGAGCCAGAGCCTGCCGGGAGGGATCCTACATCACCAACCCTGAAAAACAGGATCCTTGTCAAGGACCCCTAACAAGGTACGTATCCCAAACTGTTACAACTGTAAGAAAACAAACCCTAAACCCTAAACCCTAAACCCTAAAGCATTCTCATCCCTCCAACGCTGTCATGTTGCGCTGTTGCCCTTCTCGGGCTGTCGATGTGCGTTCAAGCTCCGTTCAGGCTTACTGAAGATCCCTAGCCCTCCAGGTACCTACTATTTAAGGCCTTCGGGGCTCTAGTGCCCTATATAGTAGGTACCTGGGGGGTTAGGGAAAGATAGAAGGATTTTGGCTTTTCCTGGGCAGACGCTTCATTCCTTGATTTCGGACGAAACTATGTTGAAGATGCGCACCACAAGCTCCGACATCTTTATTTACTTCTCGGTTAAATGATGACGATTACAGCTCACCGACGAAGACAACTGCAAGCGAGGGCCTTTGTAGCATCCCGAAGTAACGCCGTGTGCAAGGTTCCTTATGATAGCACTTATATAACACCCCATTCTAAGTCCTTGACCCCCTATATTCCAGATCTCCCCAAGGCTACATGACCCGGACAACACAAAGGACGTTGAGAACCAATGGCCCCTGCCGGCCCTCTTTGCTGTGACGGCCAGTACCTACACTGATGTAGGGGCCTTCATAATTAGAATAGGGTTTTGGGGTATATTATACTAAGATTACAACCAGGATCAAAAAAAATTAACGCA